TATGAGTTTTATGCAGAATGTTTATTGATAAAGCAGGTAAGTAATGACGATGGGAAAGATGTTCGCCCAGAACTCAAACCTGAAAGAATTTTTTCCTCTAAACCTTTTAAATTACGGATGTTTAAATATCTGCGTCTGTTTGTCAGCAAAGGCTGCAGGAAAGTAGAGTTAGTCTTTATTTAGAAAACATGGATGTTTGGCTCCTTCAGTTTCCTGTTGGAACAGAATAGACCGACCATGAGGTTCTGGTTCTGATCCGCTTCCAGCCCCTCGGTGTTACTGCCTGTTGGTTACTGCCTGTTGGTTACAGTCTGTTGGTTACAGCCTGTTGGTTACAGCCTGTTGGTTACTGCCTGTTGGTTACTGCCTGTTGGTTACAGCCTGTTGGTTACAGCCTGTTGGTTACAGTCTGTTGGTTACTGCCTATTGGTTACTGCCTGTTGGTTACAGTCTGTTGGTTACAGCCTGTTGGTTACAGCCTGTTGGTTACAGCCTGTTGGTTACTGCCTGTTAGTTACAGCCTGTTAGTTACAGCCTGTTGGTTACAGTCTGTTGGTTACAGTCTGTTGGTTACAGCCTGTTGGTTACAGCCTGTTGGTTACAGCCTGTTGGTTACTGCCTGTTGGTTACAGCCTGTTGGTTACTGCCTGTTGGTTACAGCCTGTTGGTTACAGTCTGTTGGTTACAGCCTGTTGGTTACAGTCTGTTGGCTACAGCCTATTGGTTACTGCCTGTTGGTTACAGTCTGTTGGTTACAGCCTGTTGGTTACAGCCTGTTGGTTACAGTCTGTTGGTTACAGCCTGTTGGTTACAGCCTGTTGGTTACAGTCTGTTGATTACTGCCTGTTGGTTACTGCCTGTTGGTTACAGTCTGTTGGTTACAGCCTGTTGGTTACAGTCTGTTGGTTATAGCCTGTTGGTTACTGCCTGTTGGTTACAGCCTGTTGGTTACTGCCTGTTGGTTACAGCCTGTTGGTTACAGTCTGTTGGTTACAGCCTGTTGGTTACAGTCTGTTGGCTACAGCCTATTGGTTACTGCCTGTTGGTTACAGTCTGTTGGTTACAGTCTGTTGGTTACAGCCTGTTGGTTACAGTCTGTTGGTTACAGCCTGTTGGTTACAGCCTGTTGGTTACTGCCTGTTGGTTACAGTCTGTTGGTTACTGCCTGTTGGTTACTGCCTGTCGGTTACAGCCTGTTGGTTACTGCCTGTTGGTTACAGTCTGTTGGTTACAGCCTGTTGGTTACAGCCTGTTGGTTACTGCCTGTTGGTTACAGTCTGTTGGTTACAGCTTGTTGGTTACAGCCTGTTGGCTACAGCCTGTTGGTTACTGCCTGTTGGTTACAGCCTGTTGGTTACAGCCTGTTGGTTACTGCCTGTTGGTTACAGCCTGTTGGTTACAGCCTGTTGGTTACAGTCTGTTGGTTACAGTCTGTTGGTTACTGCCTGTTGGTTACAGCCTGTTGGTTACAGTCTGTTGGTTACAGCCTGTTGGTTACTGCCTGTTGGTTACAGCCTGTTGGTTACAGTCTGTTGGTTACAGCCTGTTGGTTACAGCCTGTTGGTTACAGCCTGTTGGTTACAGTCTGTTGGTTACAGTCTGTTGGTTACAGCCTGTTGGTTACAGCCTGTTGGTTACAGCCTGTTGGTTACAGCCTGTTGGTTACAGCCTGTTGGTTACAGTCTGTTGGTTACAGCCTGTTGGTTACAGCCTGTTGGTTACAGCCTGTTGGTTACAGTCTGTTGGTTACAGTCTGTTGGTTACTGCCTGTTGGTTACAGCCTGTTGGTTACAGCCTGTTGGTTACAGTCTGTTGGTTACAGTCTGTTGGTTACAGTCTGTTGGTTACAGTCTGTTGGTTACTGCCTGTTGGTTACAGCCTGTTGGTTACTGCCTGTTGGTTACAGCCTGTTGGTTACAGCCTGTTGGTTACAGTCTGTTGGTTACTGTCTGTTGGTTACAGCCTGTTGGTTACAGCCTGTTGGTTACAGCCTGTTGGTTACTGCCTGTTGGTTACAGCCTGTTGGTTACAGTCTGTTGGTTACAGCCTGTTGGTTACAGCCAGTTGGTTACAGCCTATTGATTACTGCCTGTTGGTTACAGTCTGTTGGTTACTGCCTGTTGGTTACAGTCTGTTGGTTACTGCCTGTTGGTTACAGCCTGTTGGTTACAGCCTGTTGGTTACTGCCTGTTGGTTACAGTCTGTTGGTTACAGTCTGTTGGTTACTGCCTGTTGGTTACAGCCTGTTGGTTACTACCTGTTGGTTACAGTCTGTTGGTTACAGTCTGTTGGTTACTGCCTGTTGGTTACAGCCTGTTGGTTACTGCCTGTTGGTTACAGCCTGCTGGTTACAGTCTGTTGGTTACTGCCTGTTGGTTACAGTCTGTTGGTTACAGCCTGTTCGTTACAGTCTGTTGGTTACTGCTTGTTGGTTACAGTATGTTGGTTACAGCCTGTTGGTTAAAGTCTGTTGGTTACTGCCTGTTGGTTACTGCCTGTTGGTTACTGCCTGTTGGTTACAGCCTGTTGGTTACTGCCTGTTGGTTACAGTCTGTTGGTTACAGTCTGTTGGTTACTGCCTGTTGGTTACAGCCTGTTGGTTACTGCCTGTTGGTTACAGCCTGCTGGTTACAGTCTGTTGGTTACTGCCTGTTGGTTACAGTCTGTTGGTTACAGCCTGTTCGTTACAGTCTGTTGGTTACTGCTTGTTGGTTACAGTCTGTTGGTTACAGCCTGTTGGTTAAAGTCTGTTGGTTACTGCCTGTTGGTTACTGCCTGTTGGTTACTGCCTGTTGGTTACAGCCTGTTGGTTACTGCCTGTTGGTTACAGTCTGTTGGTTACAGTCTGTTGGTTACAGCCTGTTGGTTACTGCCTGTTGGTTACAGCCTGTTGATTACAGTCTGTTGGTCACAGTCTGTTGGTTACAGCCTGTTGGTTACAGTCTGTTGGTTACAGTCTGTTGGTTACTGCCTGTTGGTTACAGTCTGTTGGTTACAGCCTGTTGGTTACTGCCTGTTGGTTACAGCCTGTTGGTTACAGTCTGTTGGTTACTGCCTGTTGGTTACAGCCTGTTGGTTACAGCCTGTTGGTTACAGCCTGTTGGTTACTGCCTGTTGGTTACAGTCTGTTGGTTACAGCCTGTTGGTCACAGCCTGTTGGTTACAGTCTGTTGGTTACAGCCTGTTGGTTACTGCCTGTTGGTTACAGCCTGTTGGTTACAGTCTGTTGGTTACAGCCTGTTGGTTACTGCCTGTTGGTTACAGCCTGTTGGTTACAGTCTGTTGGTTACAGCCTGTTGGTTACTGCCTGTTGGTTACAGCCTGTTGGTTACTGCCTGTTGGTTACAGTCTGTTGGTTACAGCCTGTTGGTTACTGCCTGTTGGTTACTGCCTGTTGGTTACAGTCTGTTGGTTACTGCCTATTGGTTACAGCCTGTTGGTTACAGCCTGTTGGTTACAGCCTGTTGGTTACAGCCTGTTGGTTACTGCCTGTTGGTTACAGTCTGTTGGTTACAGCCTGTTGGTTACAGCCTGTTGGTTACAGTCTGTTGGTTAAAGCCTGTTGGTTACTGCCTGTTGGTTACAGCCTGTTGGTTACAGTCTGTTGGTTACAGCCTGTTGGTTACTGCCTGTTGGTTACAGTCTGTTGGTTACTGCCTGTTGGTTACAGCCTGTTGGTTACAGTCTGTTGGTTACTGCCTGTTGGTTACAGCCTGTTGGTTACAGCCTGTTGGTTACTGCCTGTTGGTTACAGTCTATTGGTTACAGCCTGTTGGTTACAGCCTGTTGGTTACAGTCTGTTGGTTACAGCCTGTTGGTTACTGCCTGTTGGTTACAGCCTGTTGGTTACAGTCTGTTGGTTACAGCCTGTTGGTTACAGCCTGTTGGTTACAGCCTGTTGGTTACTGCCTGTTGGTTACAGTCTGTTGGTTACAGCCTGTTGGTTACAGCCTGTTGGTTACAGTCTGTTGGTTACAGCCTGTTGGTTACTGCCTGTTGGTTACAGCCTGTTGGTTACAGTCTGTTGGTTACAGCCTGTTGGTTACTGCCTGTTGGTTACAGTCTGTTGGTTACTGCCTGTTGGTTACAGCCTGTTGGTTACAGTCTGTTGGTTACTGCCTGTTGGTTACAGCCTGTTGGTTACAGTCTGTTGGTTACAGTCTGTTGGTTACAGCCTGTTGGTTACAGCCTGTTGGTTACAGTCTGTTGGTTACAGCCTGTTGGTTACTGCCTGTTGGTTACAGTCTGTTGGTTACAGTCTGTTGGTTACAGCCTGTTGGTTACAGCCTGTTGGTTACAGCCTGTTGGTTACAGTCTGTTGGTTACAGCCTGTTGGTTACAGTCTGTTGGTTACAGCCTGTTGGTTACAGCCTGTTGGTTACAGTCTGTTGGTTACAGTCTGTTGGTTACAGCCTGTTGGTTACAGCCTGTTGGTTACAGCCTGTTGGTTACAGTCTGTTGGTTACAGCCTGTTGGTTACTACCTGTTGGTTACAGCCTGTTGGTTACTGCCTGTTGTTTACAGCCTGTTGGTTACAGCCTGTTGGTTACTGCCTGTTGGTTACAGCCTGTTGGTTACTGCCTGTTGGTTACTGCCTGTTGTTTACAGCCTGTTGGTTACAGTCTGTTGGTTACAGCCTGTTGGTTACAGCCTGTTGGTTACAGCCTGTTGGTTACTGCCTGTTGGTTACAGCCTGTTGGTTACTGCCTGTTGGTTACAGCCTGTTGGTTACTGCCTGTTGTTTACAGCCTGGACACCCTTAGAAACATTTTCTGGCTGTGCTGCTCTGGAGGAACAGACAGATCTTCCATCTTCTCTTCATTTTTACCCATTTTTTCCTCAGTCCCTCTTAGAGTCGCTGAAAACCTCCATGCAGGTCCAGCTGAGAACTGGACCTGCTGAGAGGTCCAGTTCTCAGCTGCTGCTTGGACCGGCCCCCTCTCAGCCCCCCACCCCGCCCCCTCCCACACTGACTGCAGCTGGTAGGAAGCGCCGCGCGCTGTCCCATTACTTGCAGTCCGCGCGCAGCGGCAGACCGGTCCACCAGGAGCTCTGCGCTCGCGCCGCTGGAATCGGTCGGCACTTTGATCCCAGGCGCTCGCGGCGCAGATGTCAGCCGGAAGGAGAGACTGAGCCATGGAGGAGAGCCAGAGGATGGAAGCCTGGCTGGATGACCACCGGGACTTCAGCCGCTCCTACTTTGTCCGGAAGGCGTCAAGGTAACCGGACCGGACCGGACCGCGTGGGTTCGTGGGGTTGATGTGTTGCTTATGAGCCAATCAGAGTCCGTCCAGTTTACTCTGGTGTTTGCTTACTGGGAGCACTGGGAGCCTGATGCGTTCAGGTGCAGCATGCTGCTTCCTAATCATTAACTTTTACTGCCTGCTTCTTATTGTTCCTACTTGCTGACTGTTGGATTCACTGCTAATTAATCCCATAAAGGAAGGACTGATCTCCAGCTGCTGGAGCCCTTCAGCAAACACACCCTCTGCCTGGACTGGGAACACATCAGCCTCCTGAGATGGTTCCCAGCTGAGATAAGTCCCACCTGATGCTGGGAACCATCTCAGGTAGGCTTCAGGCTGCATATTAGTGGGTTTCTGGGGGGGATCAATATGTCATACGCTGCCTTGAACATGATAAGACCCCCAGAACCATTAATTCAATTCAATTAATTCTATTCAGTTTATTTCTATAGCACCAATTCACAACACCTCAGGTCACTTTCCAGATCAACCAGATCATCCAGTCAGATTGATTCAAAGTTTTCTATCTAAGGAAAACCAGCTGATTGCATCGACTCATTGACTCTTCAGCAATCCCTCACACTAAGCATGCTTGTAGCGACAGTGGAGAGGAAAAACTCCCTTTGAACAGGAAGAAACCTCCAGCAGAACCAGGCTCAGTGTGAGTGGCCATCTGCTGAGGCCCACTGGGGTTCAAGGAGACAGAAGCAGACATAGAAAAAGAAGCATAGATACAAAAGGCAACTGTCAACCAGCTCCCATGTCAGAGGATGAAGAGAGCACATCCAGTTAGTCACAGTCAGAGAAACAGGACTACACTGGAAAACAGGCCAAGCTCCAACATCTAGAAACAAAGGTGTTGATGGCAGCAGCACAGCTGATATTTCTCTCCAGGATGGAGTCACAGCCAAACAGGAACAGACCAGATGAAGCTACTATGAGAAAAAGCAGAGAGAGCAGAAGGTTAGAGATTGAACTAACAGATTCTGCAGAGTGGGAGAATAGAGATAGAATGAAGCAGAATGATGAAAAAGGGGTCCCTATGTCCTCCAGCAGTCTAAGCCTATAGCAGCAGAACTATAGAGATAGATCAGGATAACCTGAGCCACTCTAACTAGAAGCTTTATCAAAAATGAAAGTTTTAAGCCTAGCCTTAAAAGTAGACAGGGTGTCTGCCTCACGGACTAAAACTGGTAGTTGGTTCCACAGGAGAGGAGCCTGAGAACTAAAAGATCTGCCTCCCATTCTACTTTTAGAAATTCTAGGAACCACTAGTAAACCTGCAGACTGAGAGCGAAGTGCTCTGTTAGGAACATCAGGAACAATCAGATCTCTGATATCAGATGGAGCTTGGCCATTTAAGGCTTTATATGTGAGAAGGAGGATTTTAAATTCTATTCTGGATTTAACAGGAAGCCAATGAAGAGAAGCCAGGATAGGAGAGATATGATCTCTCTTTTTCATTTTCATCAGAACTCTGGCTGCAGCATTTTGGATCAGCTGAAGGCTTTTAACTACAGTTTGTGGACTTCCTGATAGTAAAGAATTACAATAGTCCAGCCTTGAAGTAACAAATGCATGGACTAGTTTCTCAGCATCACCCCTGGACAGGAGATTGCTCATTTCTGCAATATTCCTCAGATGAAAGAAGGAAATTCTAGAAACATCTTTGATCTGGGATTTAAATGACAGGTCCTGATCAAAAATAACACCAAGATTTTTTACTTTATTATCTGAAATCAGTTTAATCCCATCCAAATGAAGTGACTGGCTAATCAGCTTCTTTTTCAGAGACTCTGGTCCAAAGACTATAACTTCTGTTTTGTCTGCATTCAGGAGCAGAAAGTTAAGAGTCATCCAGGTTTTTATGTCTTCAAGACATGCCTGTAATCTATGTAATGGGTTAGCTTCATCTGGATTTATAGACAGATATAGCTGGGTATCATCAGCATAACAGTGGAAATTAATCCCATGCTGTCTAATAATTCTACCGATTGGGAGCATGTATAAAGTAAAGAGAATTGGTCCTAGCACTGATCCCTGTGGTACTCCACAGGTAACCTTTGAGCATGAGGAAGATCTATCATTAACATGAACAAACTGAATTCGATCAGATAGATCAGATTTAAACCAGTCTAGTGCTGTTCCTTTAATTCCAACAAAATATTCAAGTCTTTCTAAAAGAATATTATGGTCAACTGGATCAAATGCAGCACTAAGATCCAACAGGACGAGCACAGATACAAGCCCATTATCTGAGGCCATGAGAATATCATTAGTGACTTTCACCAGAGCTGTTTCAGTGCTATGATGAGCTCTAAAGCCAGACTGAAACTCTTCAAAAAGTTCATTATGGCGGAAGTGATCGCACACTTGTTTGGCAACTACTTTCTCAAGAATTTTAGATAAGAAAGGAAGATTGGATATAGGTCTATAATTGACCAAGTCATCTGGGTCAAGAGACGGTTTCTTAAGCAGAGGTTTAATTCCAGCAACCTTAAAAGCTTTAGGTACATATCCCTGTAACAGAGATAGATTAATCACATCTAGAATGGAGGAGGAGATCAAAGGGAATACCTCCTTAAATAACCTGGTTGGAACTGGATCTAACATCCAAGTTGAAGGCTTAGATGAAGACAATAATTTTGCTAACTCAGAAAGTTCAACTGGATCAAAGCAGTCTAAACCGGTTCAGATTCCATGACTACCTCAGATGCTGCCCCCCCCTCCAGCGACAAACCAATCGTGGATAGAGGAGTGCTAATGATCTTATTTTTAATAAGATCAATCTTATTTATAAAGAATCCCATAAAATCATTGCTGCTAAGAGCAGGTGGAATGGACGGTTCAACAGAGCTATGGCTCTGGGTGAGTTTGGCAACTGGATTAAAAAGAAATCTAGGATTATTCTTATTCTCCTCTATTAATGAGGAGAAGTATGCTGCTCTTGCTTTACAAAGGGTCCTCTTATACAGCAGTGACATATTTTTCCAGACTAGGTTAGACCCCCTGATCCATCAGACCCCATTAGGTGGGATGGCATGATGGTTACCGACTGTTGTCGGTGTGTTTCCTCTGGGAATGTGGCCTTCTGGGAAATATCATCAAGATTTCCAACATTTCCACATCCAGGATGATCAACCCGAGGCAGAAGGTGGAAATGTTACAGGAAGAGCCACTTTGTTACTGCTCCTGTTCTCTGTGTCCAGGATGCAAAGAAAAATTAGCCCCAAAATCATCTAAGAAACTAACTTTGACTCAGCAACAGCTTCCAGTCCTCCTAACGCCGGCGTTACACCCCCCCAGAGGATTTAGACTGCTATTACAGTCAGTGTTCTCACCAAGTGTCCAGTGTTTTAGTTGTGACCCATTGGGTTAGGGCTGCTAATGATGGACCGATTTGGTTCTAAATGAACCAACATGAAGTAGAAAATGGCCTTTCAGGTGTGATGGTTAAACTTCTCAGGTTTATAGTGTGAAAATGGTGGAAAAAGCCCCTCAGGGTGGGACCAACCATGTGGGTGGACTGGTTTCCATTCCTGCAAGGCTTTCTGCTGTGGGTTTAAACATTAACCTCCAGCCAGTGGAGTACTTACTGTCGCAAAGGTTCGCTCTGAGCACCATTGTGTGACTATTAAAGTCTATATGACTCCATTGTCCTGCTTTTAAAGAACAGTTGACTGTGGTAGAGTTCACCGTGATGCTTGTCGCTTACATTTTGAGGTGTAGAACATCATAGCAACCATTTCTGAAGAGATTCCAGGCCTTTTTATTGCTATAACGTTCCTCTTAAGCTTTGCAGTTACCTATATCAAAAGTACCAGTTTGAACGGGTCAGTACACCTTGCATGGCATGGACCTGGTTCCAGGTTTATTCAACTTTAGCTCAATAACAAAAGTGAAAATCTGCCTCATTTCCTGTAAATTCATTTTTTATCAGGTTCTTTCATTCTTACCTCAACAATCCAGGATATTCTGAGAAAGCCTCTTAGTTTCTAGTCAGAATAAAGATTTCCCAGAGGCAGTTTATTGGAATTAAAAGTACAAACAGACTCTCTGCTTTTCCAGGTAACAGGCTGTGCTCTTTGCAGCCAATAACTACTGATTGCTGGTATGTTATTGCCGGTATATTCTTTAAAGTGTGTCTTATCATAGAGGATGGAGTCCTTCAGAGGTTTCTGCCATTTCCTTTAGGACCCAATACTGGGAACGTTCTTTAACAGATAAAAGCCTTTATACTGGTTTTGAGGTAGACTATACTTTTCTGTTGGATGATCCCCATGGCTGAACAGTGGGGGTGGCTAACATAGGGGGTGACTAACATGGGGGTGGCTAACAGTGGGGGGGTGACTAACATGGGGGTGGCTAACAATGGGGGTGGCTAACATTGGGGTGGCTAACAGTGGGGCTGGCTAACATTGGGGTAGCTAAAATAGGGGGGGGCTAATGTTAGCCACCCCCCATTTGGTCTGCACCCTGGGGGGTCAGGGTTTTGGAGGACTAATAAATGTGGCCAGATTCCTAGAAAGAAGAGCTGCACCATCCAAAGTGGGAAGGATGCCGTCTCTCCGAATCAGACCAGGCTTTCCCCAAAAGGATTGCCAATTATTAATGTAGCCCACGTTGTTTTCAGGACACCACCTAGACAACCAGCGGTTGAATGACGACATGCGGCTAAACATGTCATAACCCTAACCCATCACTGGCTAACATTGAGGGAAGCTAACATTAAAGGTAGCCAACACTGAGGAGAGGCTAACATTGTGGGTAGCTAAGAGGTTCACAGTGGATTTTTCTTAGATTGTTCATATTCACCAGATCTGACGTTGCTATGTTGTGACTAAATGTCTTTTATTTTGCAATGTACTCTTTGTGCTTTGCTTTTCTTTCAAATAATCCAAGGACCTCTTCTTATATTTTATCTCCTAGCTCTCCATCAGTCAGCTCTTTTATGATGATGCTTTCTTAGCTAGTTCAGGTAGCCCGGGGAGCTGTTTCTGATTCCCTCCGGTGTGTGATATCTAATAAATCTGGTAAAGCGTGCTCTGTGAATGGTTAAACTCATTTAAAAGGCAGCTCTTTGTGTGTAATAATATTTTAATGTCTAGGCTTTCTTTGTGAGGCACTTTATGGGTTTTTTTTGGAAGAGGTGCTGCATAAATAAACTTTACTCCCTTGAATTGGAGGGAAGTTCCCCAGAAACTGGTCCTGTTTTTTATTAAAGGGACTTTAAACTTTGGGACAGGAATGGAGGACGGTCTTCAGTCCATCGTTTATGGGAGGGGGAGTCTCCGACTGCAATAGAAGTTTCGTCAATGGGCCGTCACCACATTGGAAACCTTAAAAAAACAACAACCAAGTATGCCCATAATTAGGTTAAGAAGAATGTTGATATCTCAGAGTTTTGCAAAATGTTCTTCTGAAGGCCTGTGATGGTGGGCATCCTGGGATGATTCTGAAACCAGTCTGTTCATCCTAGAAGTTCTGTGTCAAAGGGACAGTATCCATCGCCATGGTGTCTCTTGCTAAGATCTCCTTTCAGTCAGACGTCTCCTAAGCTCAGTGTAACCTGGATTCTGAAGCTCCTTAGGAAAGATGTTAAAATGAGACTTTATTTCAGGCTGTCCCTGGATGGTTCTGCTCCCCTCCTCTCTGTCCTAAGTGTCCCAGGCGGCAGTGTAATCTGGTTTGTTCTGTGTTGACAGGGAGATGGTGAACGCCTGGTTTGCTGAGCGTGTCCACACCATCCAGCCGTCTGTGTCCAAGGAAAACTCTCCACAGCAGCGAAGCCACCAGTCCTCCTTGGATCTTTGCCCATCTTCTAACTCCCCCATCCTCCCTTCAACACTCACCCTCATGGACACCCGCTGCCCCTCCCCAGCCACCGTCCCAAGCCCGGCTCCTGGTACCCCGACCCGTAAAATCTCAGCCTCTGAGTTTGACCGGCCATTAAGACCCATCGTGGTTAAAGACTCGGAGGGGTCCCTGACATTCCTGAGCGACTCGGAGCGGGAGCCCGTCCCTCTGTGTGGTTCAGTGATGGAGGACAGTGGGGGCAGTGGAGGTCGGGCGGGGGACCGCTGCACCAGGCTGCTGGAGCTGGTGAAGGAAGTATCAAGTCATCTGGACGTGACGGCGCTTTGCCATAAGATCTTCCTGCATATCAACGAGCTGATTGCTGCGGATCGATACTCCCTCTTTCTGGTAGGAACCTCTCAGCTGTAGGGAAAGGATGTTAATGCAGGTCAGATTCAACGTATGTTCAAATACTTCCTACAATATTTATGCATCGGTTACAACATTCCTGTTTATTGATTTCAAAGAAGAGACGTTGTGCTGATATAGACCCACTGGTTAGGATCTGAGCTCTAGAAATGGATGTATGGGAACGATTAAGGATGATTCATGGGATTTTATCCACGATGCCTTCTGATAACAACATCCCAGGGTTCACCTCACTGAGGCTGGTCCAAACTTCCCGAAACATATTCAGGGAACTGTTAAAAAAATCAGCACATCCAAGGATATTCACTCAATCATTTATTTCAGCATTCGAGTTACGTGGTAAACATTTCTGAGGGGGTGAGGAGGAAGATGATAGTGTAGAAATGACCACTATTGACATTTTGGTAGAAATTGGCTTAGACTTTGTTTTAACATGTTTACTATGTTTATTTTCCTTTGCTAATTAGAAATGAGGTGAAAACATGAGATATTCATCCTTCTATGATTAGAGCTAAATGGACCATTTTTAGCTGGGTTTGATTCTAGAACCGTCTCCCAGAACCAACCATCACCTCAACCCCTTGTAGACGTACCTCAGCTCAGGTGGTATCTGCTGACAGAAGATCAATTAGCTTTGCTCGCCACTAATGCCCTTAAAGCTGCAGGAGAACATCCAGGATCCAGCTAGAAATACAGACAAAGGTTTCTGCTCAGATAAGACCAAAAAATAATATGCCTGAAAACCCACAGTAAAAACATGGTGGAGGAGGCATCATGCTGTGGACACTGATCATATGCAGCCATAGCTACACATTGTGTAAGAAAGGCCTAGTCAAAGTCCTCACTGGATCCTAGCTGTGACTCTGAGGTAACAGTTGATCCATCCAAACCTTTCTGTAGATGTTTACAGCCAGTACAGATTCCAGAAGAAGTCCAGCTGGACCTTCTGCCAGACATGATTCCAGTGTCATCAGAGATGCTCTGTTTAGCTCCTCAGGACGAATCCCCACAAACATTCTTTAAGTTTGTGGTTTTCATTTAGGCTGAATGCTAAAGAAAACGTGATAAAGTTGGTGGATGTAAGAGTGATGAACTAATATTCAACTAAATTAGAGGAGCTCCCTTCAGCTGAGGGAGGAAACAAAGCCGGACCCCCTCGTGGAGAGGCAGAAACTTTAGCCCTTTGGTTCCATCACAGCAGCTTGCTTCGTATCGTAGAACAGCTCAAGAAACAGCTGCGTTCTGTCCTCTTTTTCATTCCTCCATGGATGGTGGTGAGCTACATCGTAGCCACAGCTGCTCTGGGACACACTGACTGAGGCTGCCAGGCACCACGGGGCCTCTGACCACCATCAGTGTGCCAGGCGGGTAGACGGCTGGGACATACAAAGCTAGGGTTCAAACCTCTGGTTGCACCCTTCTGCACCCTACACCAATGTTGCCCCAGAATACTCTTCAAAGAACATATTAAGACCCTTTTACAAGGTTTTCTGCTCGAGCAAAAGGGTCAGTAACTAAAACTGTTGTGCATAAAGTGAGCATAACTGTACGGTGTATTTCTTCCCCTCGTGTCTTTATTTAACTTCTACTGTTCTTGCAGGTGGGTGAAGATAGTTCCAACAGGAAGTTCTTGGTCAGCCGGCTGTTTGACGTTGCTGAGGGATCCACATTGGAGGAATCGTCCAGTAGCTGCATCCGACTCGAGTGGAACAAGGGGATAGTTGGACACGTAGCCTCCACAGGACAACCGCTCAATATCAAGAATGCATATGAGGTGAGGACTTTAATGTGTCGTTTCTTAGCAATCTCTAGCCAATGGCTGCAGAGTTTATGGTTGATTCACTTTAATTGTTTTCGCTGCATTTATGCCTAAATGTGACATCTACCCTGACATCTACCGTGACGTCTAGCCTGACATCTACCCTAACACCTACCCTAACATTTACCCTGACGTCTACCCTAAAGTCTACCCTGACACCTACCCTTATATCTACTCTGAAAAGCTTTTGCTAATTAGCCTTTGGTAAGGCTAACCGTAAAGGTTACGGCACCATGTTGAGCAAACTGTGTTAAACTGAACAAGCAGCAGAATTCTGTAAATGAGTTTGATCTAAATGAGTTTGCTGTCACAGCCGTTCTCTGATCTGGGTCCAGATGTGTACTCATGGACATTCAGTTTCAGGATTGTGTGTGAGTTCAGGAGATGGAGTGTTTCAGAAGATGTTTTCCAGCAGGCAGCCGGATCTCTGATAGCATCCACTCTTCCTGTGCCTGTCAGATGGTTTTAGCAAACTGTGCTTGAATGAATTTCTACATGCATATTGAAACCACATAATGATTTGATGTTCTTCTTGTATTGAGCTGCTTACAGAGCAGTTCCAGTCTTGTTTTCATGTCCTCCACTATTTCAAAGCTCAGTAATTGAAGCCATCATTCTTCCTTCATGCAGTCATCAGAGGAAGCCTTCAGGCAGTCACTGTGGTGTGACTGCTGCTTCTCCTCAGGCTGCACTCTCAGTACGCCTTCCTTCCTTTATCAGCAGATCTTATCCAGAACGGTGGCCTGGTTAAAACCAGGAACACTCACCTTGGAGAGATGGATGAAGTTGATGTCTGGATGAATCCATCTAGACAGAGTCTTATCCACCATCTGAAGTTCAGGTTGTTAAGTGAGGAAGAATGTGCTGCCCGGTTTACCTGAAAACATCTGTGCAGGGATTTATTTCCAGTTCATTTCCCCCAGAGTCATAAGAAGACCAGCTCAATAACTGCTATGTTCCCAGATCCTCACGTTTGTTTCTGTTGACGTATAGAAGACATTTTAGTATAGATATAATAATAGGAAAGGATTTTATTCAGCTTTGAATCAGCCTATGTATTTCTACACAAAAATGTTTAGTTGTAAAAGGAACATTTCCTTGGCTAGAAGCCATCAGTTGGATCTGGGCTCATTTCAGTAAAACTCCTGAAAACCCTGCTTCCCCGGAATCGTACCCGCAACACTGTGTCCTTCAGAGCCACGGCCGGGAGTCCCAGTACCTGTACCCCTTTTACCAGCGTTGATTATGGACTGATAGCCAGACACATTTTAAAGTGTCAGAACAGGCTGGACCGGCTCGTTTTACTCAGATAGAACCACAGCGAGCAGTGAGCTCCATCTGGGCCCAGAGCTTTGTCTCTTAATGCTAAACAAATGAGCAGGATTTGGTTTGCAAAGGAGTGGACCTTGTGTTGCTGAAGGCCGCTGTTTTATGGAAATGGAGGCTGAGTGCAGCTCATGGAGGCGCTGGATGAAGCTAGCTGACGTCTGGTTCTTTTTTTTTTTTTTTACAGTGTCCTGTCTGGCAATGTGGCAATAAGAATAATTGTCTTGATGCCAAAAGGAGCCCAACAGATTTTACTTTCACAAGTGGAGCAGTACGGCTATCGCCATACTGCTCCACTTGTTTCATGCATATAAATTGCTTTATTATAATTATGCAGGGAGTTTTACAGTTTATATGGACACTGCAATGTAAGTAGAGCAGAAAAACAGAAGAAGAAAAGGAAAAAAGAAAGAAAAGATGAAAGAAAGAAGAGAAAGGAGACAATGACAAAACATTTTCAGTCTGCTTCATCACCTGTAACGAGATGAAAATAGAACAGCACAACCGAAAGACATGGTACGAGACATACAATAAAGCAACACCTTGAAACTATCGCTAAAGTAATATTATTAAGTCTGACATGTACTCTGTGTTACCTGAAGATATGAATGTGGGGTTTCTGTTTGGAAGTGAATCTCTAAGTACCTGAAGCCTAGCACCTGTAGTTGATTGTGAGGGTGAACTTGTGCATGTAAAGTTTATCCATAGAAAAAATGCTCAATAGTGGTTGTGGAGAGCTGAAGAGGCACACCCCCCAGAGCACTGAGTCCAGCGCCGGGAGACCCAAAGCCCCAGTCGCCCAAAGGGACCCCAAGAGCGAAGGCACCAAGGAGGGGCCAGCCCCGGAAATCAGACCCCACCAAGGGAGGAGGAGAGACAGCCCCCAAGAAGCCCCCCAGCCACTGCCATGCCGGCGCCCTGGGGAGCCGCGGAGACGAGTCCGCGGGCTCCTCCGGCAGCCGGCCATCCCGAAGTAGGGCCGGGCACCGAACACCGCCCCGTTTTGTAGAACCCTGCCTGTGAAGGCGCTGGATGAAGCTAGCTGACATATAGTTCTGTAGAACCGGACTGCAGAGGCGCTGGATGAAGCTAGCTTATGTCTGGTTCTGTAGAACCCGGCCTGTGGAGGCGCTGGATGAAGCTAGCTGACGTCTGGTTCTGTAGAACCCTGCCCGTGAAGGCGCTGGATGAAGCTAGCTGATGTCTGGTTCTATAGAACCCGGCCCGTGAAGGCGCTGGATGAAGCTAGCTGACGTCTGGTTCTGTAGAACCCGGCCTGTGGAGGCGCTGGATGAAGCTAGCTGACGTCTGGTTCTGTAGAACCCGGCCCGTGAAGGCGCTGGATGAAGCTAGCTGACATATAGTTCTGTAGAACCGGACTGCAGAGGCGCTGGATGAAGCTAGCTGACGTCTGGTTCTGTAGAACCCGGCCTGTGGAGGCGCTGGATGAAGCTAGCTGACATATAGTTCTGTAGAACCGGACTGCAGAGGCGCTGGATGAAGCTAGCTGACGTCTGGTTCTGTAGAACCCGGCCCGTGAAGGCGCTGGATGAAGCTAGCTGACGTCTGGTTCTGTAGAACCCGGCCTGTGGAGGCGCTGGATGAAGCTAGCTGACGTCTGGTTCTGTAGAACCCGGCCTGTGGAGGCCTGGGTAAAGCTAGCTGACGTCTGGTTCTGTAGAACCCGGCCTGTGGAGGCGCTGGATGAAGCTAGCTGACGTCTGGTTCTGTAGAACCCGGCCTGTGGAGGCGCTGGATGAAGCTAGCTGACGTCTGGTTCTGTAGAACCCGGCCTGTGGAGGCCGGGGTAAAGCTAGCTGACGTCTGGTTCTGTAGAACCCGGCCTGGGGAGGCGCTGGATGAAGCTAGCTGACGTCTGGTTCTGTAGAACCGGACTGCAGAGGCGCTGGATGAAGCTAGCTGACGTCTGGTTCTGTAGAACCGGACTGCAGAGGCGCTGGATGAAGCTAGCTGACGTCTGGTTCTGTAGAACCCGGCCTGTGGAGGCGCTGGATGAAGCTAGCTGACATATAGTTCTGTAGAACCGGACTGCAGAGGCGCTGGATGAAGCTAGCTGACGTCTGGTTCTGTAGAACCCGGCCCGTGAAGGCGCTGGATGAAGCTAGCTGACGTCTGGTTCTGTAGAACCCTGCCCGTGAAGGCGCTGGATGAAGCTAACTGACATATAGTTCTGTAGAACCCGGCCTGTGGAGGCGCTGGATGAAGCTAGCTGACGTCTGGTTCTGTAGAACCCTGCCCGTGAAGGCGCTGGATGAAGCTAGCTGACATATAGTTCTGTAGAACCGGACTGAAGAGGCGCTGGATGAAGCTAGCTGACGTCTGGTTCTGTAGAACCCGGCCTGTGGAGGCCTGGGTAAAGCTAGCTGACGTCTGGTTCTGTAGAACCCGGCCTGTGGAGGCGCTGGATGAAGCTAGCTGACGTCTGGTTCTGTAGAACCCGGCCTGTGGAGGCGCTGGATGAAGCTAGCTGACGTCTGGTTCTGTAGAACCCGGCCTGTGGAGGCCGGGGTAAAGCTAGCTGACGTCTGGTTCTGTAGAACCCGGCCTGGGGAGGCGCTGGATGAAGCTAGCTGACGTCTGGTTCTGTAGAACCCGGCCTGTGGAGGCGCTGGATGAAGCTAGCTGACGTCTGGTTCTGTAGAACCCGGCCTGTGGAGGCCTGGGTAAAGCTAGCTGACGTCTGGTTCTGTAGAACCCGGCCTGTGGAGGCGCTGGGTAAAGCTAGCTGACGTCTGGTTCTGTAGAACCCGGCCCGTTGAGGCGCTGGATGAAGCTAGCTGACGTCTGGTTCTGTAGAACCCGGCCTGTGGAGGCGCAGGATGAAGCTAGCTGACGTCTGGTTCTGTAGAACCCGGCCTGTGGAGGCCTGGGTAAAGCTAGCTGACGTCTGGTTCTGTAGAACCCGGCCTGTGGAGGCGCTGGATGAAGCTAGCTGACGTCTGGTTCTGTAGAACCCGGCCTGTGGAGGCGCTGGATGAAGCTAGCTGACGTCTGGTTCTGTAGAACCCGGCCTGTGGAGGCGCTGGATGAAGCTAGCTGACGTCTGGTTCTGTAGAACCCGGCCTGTGGAGGCGCAGGATGAAGCTAGCTGACGTCTGGTTCTGTAGAATCCGGCCTGTGGAGGCCTGGGTAAAGCTAGCTGACGTCTGGTTCTGTAGAACCCGGCCTGTGGAGGTGCTGGATGAAGCTAGCTGACGTCTGGTTCTGTAGAACCCGGCCTGTGGAGGCCTGGGTAAAGCTAGCTGACGTCTGGTTCTGTAGAACCCGGCCTGTGGAGGCGCTGGATGAAGCTAGCTGACGTCTGGTTCTGTAGAACCCGGCCTGTGGAGGCCTGGGTAAAGCTAGCTGACGTCTGGTTCTGTAGAACCCTGCCAGTGAAGGCGCTGGATGAAGCTAGCTGACATCTGGTTCTGTAGAACCCGGCCCGTTGAGGCGCTGGATGAAGCTAGCTGACGTCTGGTTCTGTAGAACCCTGCCCGTGAAGGCGCTGGATGAAGCTAGCTGACATATAGTTCTGTAGATCCGGACTGCAGAGGCGCTGGATGAAGCTAGCTGACGTCTGGTTTTGTAGAACCCTGCCCGTGGAGGCGCTGGATGAAGCTAGCTGACATCTGGTTCTGTAGAACCCGGCCTGTGGAGGCGCTGGACGAAGCTAGCTGACGTCTGGTTCTGTAGAACCCGGCCTGTGGAGGCGCTGGATGAAGCTAGCTGACGTCTGGTTCTGTAGAACCCGGCCCGTGGAGGCGCTGGATGAAGCTAGCTGACGTCTGGTTCTGTAGAACCCGGCCCGTGGAGGCGCTGGATGAAGCTAGCTGACGTCTGGTTCTGTAGAACCCGGCCCGTGGAGGCGCTAGGTAAAGCTAGCTGACGTCTGGTTCTGTAGAACCCGGCCTGTGGAGGCGCTGGGTAAAGCTAGCTGACGTCTGGTTCTGTAGAACCCGGCCCGTTGAGGCGCTGGATGAAGCTAGCTGACGTCTGGTTCTGTAGAACCCGGCCTGTGGAGGCGCAGGATGAAGCTAGCTGACGTCTGGTTCTGTAGAACCCGGCCTGTGGAGGCCTGGGTAAAGCTAGCTGACGTCTGGTTCTGTAGAACCCGGCCTGTGGAGGCGCTGGATGAAGCTAGCTGACGTCTGGTTCTGTAGAACCTGGCCTGTGGAGGCGCTGGATGAAGCTAGCTGACGTCTGGTTCTGTAGAACCCGGCCTGTGGAGGCGCTGGATGAAGCTAGCTGACGTCTGGTTCTGTAGAACCCGGCCTGTGGAGGCGCAGGATGAAGCTAGCTGACGTCTGGTTCTGTAGAACCCGGCCTGTGGAGGCCTGGGTAAAGCTAGCTGACGTCTGGTTCTGTAGAACCCGGCCTGTGGAGGTGCTGGATGAAGCTAGCTGACGTCTGGTTCTGTAGAACCCGGCCTGTGGAGGCCTGGGTAAAGCTAGCTGACGTCTGGTTCTGTAGAACCCGGCCTGTGGAGGCGCTGGATGAAGCTAGCTGACGTCTGGTTCTGTAGAACCCGGCCTGTGGAGGCCTGGGTAAAGCTAGCTGACGTCTGGTTCTGTAGAACCCTGCCAGTGAAGGCGCTGGATGAAGCTAGCTGACATCTGGTTCTGTAGAACCCGGCCCGTTGAGGCGCTGGATGAAGCTAGCTGACGTCTGGTTCTGTAGAACCCTGCCCGTGAAGGCGCTGGATGAAGCTAGCTGACATATAGTTCTGTAGATCCGGACTGCAGAGGCGCTGGATGAAGCTAGCTGACGTCTGGTTTTGTAGAACCCTGCCCGTGAAGGCGCTGGATGAAGCTAGCTGACATATAGTTCTGTAGATCCGGACTGCAGAGGCGCTGGATGAAGCTAGCTGACGTCTGGTTCTGTAGAACCCGGCCTGTGGAGGCGCTGGATGAAGCTAGCTGACGTCTGGTTCTGTAGAACCCGGCCTGTGGAGGCGCTGGATGAAGCTAGCTGACGTCTGGTTCTGTAGAACCCGGCCTGTGGAGGCGCTGGATGAAGCTAGCTGACGTCTGGTTCTGTAGAACCCGGCCCGTGGAGGCGCTGGATGAAGCTAGCTGACGTCTGGTTCTGTAGAACCCGGCCCGTGGAGGCGCTGGATGAAGCTAGCTGACGTCTGGTTCTGTAGAACCCGGCCCGTGGAGGCGCTAGGTAAAGCTAGCTGACGTCTGGTTCTGTAGAACCCGGCCTGTGGAGGCGCTGGGTAAAGCTAGCTGACGTCTGGTTCTGTAGAACCCGGCCCGTTGAGGCGCTGGATGAAGCTAGCTGACGTCTGGTTCTGTAGAACCCGGCCTGGGGAGGCGCAGGATGAAGCTAGCTGACGTCTGGTTCTGTAGAACCCGGCCTGTGGAGGCGCAGGATGAAGCTAGCTGACGTCTGGTTCTGTAGAACCCGGCCTGTGGAGGCCTGGGTAAATCTAGCTGACGTCTGGTTCTGTAGAACCCGGCCTGTGGAGGCGCTGGATGAAGCTAGCTGACGTCTGGTTCTGTAGAACCCGGCCTGTGGAGGCCTGGGTAAAGCTAGCTGACGTCTGGTTCTGTAGAACCCTGCCCGTGAAGGCGCTGGATGAAGCTAACTGACATATAGTTCTGTAGAACCGGACTGCAGAGGCGCTGGATGAAGCTAGCTGACGTCTGGTTATGTAGAACCCTGCCCGTGAAGGCGCTGGATGAAGCTAGCTGACATATAGTTCTGTAGAACCGGACTGCAGAGGCGCTGGATGAAGCTAGCTGACGTCTGGTTCTGTAGAACCCGGCCTGTGGAGGCGCTGGATGAAGCTAGCTGACGTCTGGTTCTGTAGAACCCGGCCTGTGGAGGCCTGGGTAAAGCTAGCTGACGTCTGGTTCTGTAGAACCCGGCCTGTGGAGGCGCTGGATGAAGCTAGCTGACGTCTGGTTCTGTAGAACCCGGCCTGTGGAGGCGCTGGATGAAGCTAGCTGACATATAGTTCTGTAGAACCGGACTGCAGAGGCGCTGGATGAAGCTAGCTGACATCTAGTTCTGTAGAACCCGGCCTGTGGAGGCCTGGGTAAAGCTAGCTGACGTCTGGTTCTGTAGAACCCGGCCTGTGGAGGCGCTGGATGAAGCTAGCTGACGTCTGGTTCTGTAGAACCCGGCCTGTGGAGGCCTGGGTAAAGCTAGCTGACGTCTGGTTCTGTAGAACCCGGCCTGTGGAGGCGCTGGATGAAGCTAGCTGACGTCTGGTTCTGTAGAACCCGGCCTGTGGAGGCCTGGGTAAAGCTAGCTGACGTCTGGTTCTGTAGAACCCGGCCTGTGGAGGCGCTGGATGAAGCTAGCTGACGTCTGGTTCTGTAGAACCCGGCCTGTGGAGGCGCTGGATGAAGCTAGCTGACGTCTGGTTCTGTAGAACCCGGCCTGTGGAGGCCTGGGTAAAGCTAGCTGACGTCTGGTTCTGTAGAACCCGGCCTGTGGAGGTGCTGGATGAAGCTAGCTGACGTCTGGTTCTGTAGAACCCGGCCTGTGGAGGCCTGGGTAAAGCTAGCTGACGTCTGGTTCTGTAGAACCCGGCCTGTGGAGGCGCTGGATGAAGCTAGCTGACGTCTGGTTCTGTAGAACCCGGCCTGTGGAGGCCTGGGTAAAGCTAGCTGACTCTGGTTCTGTAGAACCCTGCCAGTGAAGGCGCTGGATGAAGCTAGCTGACATCTGGTTCTGTAGAACCTGGCCCGTTGAGGCGCTGGATGAAGCTAGCTGACGTCTGGTTCTGTAGAACCCTGCCCGTGAAGGCGCTGGATGAAGCTAGCTGACATATAGTTCTGTAGATCCGGACTGCAGAGGCGCTGGATGAAGCTAGCTGACGTCTGGTTTTGTAGAACCCTGCCCGTGAAGGCGCTGGATGAAGCTAGCTGACATATAGTTCTGTAGATCCGGACTGCAGAGGCGCTGGATGAAGCTAGCTGACGTCTGGTTCTGTAGAACCCGGCCCGTGGAGGCGCTGGATGAAGCTAGCTGACGTCTGGTTCTGTAGAACCCGGCCCGTGGAGGCGCTGGATGAAGCTAGCTGACGTCTGGTTCTGTAGAACCCGGCCTGTGGAGGCGCTGGGTAAAGCTAGCTGACGTCTGGTTCTGTAGAACCCGGCCCGTGGTGGCGCTGGGTAAAGCTAGCTGACGTCTGGTTCTGTAGAACCCGGCCTGTGGAGGCGCTGGGTAAAGCTAGCTGACGTCTGGTTCTGTAGAACCCGGCCTGGGGAGGCGCAGGATGAAGCTAGCTGACGTCTGGTTCTGTAGAACCCGGCCTGTGGAGGCGCAGGATGAAGCTAGCTGACGTCTGGTTCTGTAGAACCCGGCCCGTTGAGGCGCTGGATGAAGCTAGCTGACGTCTGGTTCTGTAGAACCCGGCCTGGGGAGGCGCAGGATGAAGCTAGCTGACGTCTGGTTCTGTAGAACCCGGCCTGTGGAGGCGCTGGATGAAGCTAGCTGACGTCTGGTTCTGTAGAACCCGGCCCTTTGAGGCGCTGGATGAAGCTAGCTGACGTCTGGTTCTGTAGAACCCGGCCTGTGGAGGCACTGGATGAAGCTAGCTGACGTCTGGTTCTGTAGAACCCGGCCTGTGGAGGCGCTGGATGAAGCTAGCTGACGTCTGGTTCTGTAGAACCCGGCCTGGGGAGGCGCAGGATGAAGCTAGCTGACGTCTGGTTCTGTAGAACCCGGCCCGTGGAGGCGCTGGATGAAGCTAGCTGACGTCTGGTTCTGTAGAACCCGGCCCGTGGAGGCGCTGGATGAAGCTAGCTGACGTCTGGTTCTGTAGAACCCGGCCCGTGGAGGCGCTGGATGAAGCTAGCTGATGCAGGCCTTATATCTGGTTTAATGTCTGAAACTTTTGCCTCCCCAGGATCCAAGATTCAACGCTGAGGTGGACCTGATCACCGGCTACAAAACTCACAGCATCCTCTGTCTCCCCATCAAGAACCACCGAGGAGAGGTGAGCTGAGTCTACACGGCGCAGCTCTAAGACTGACAGAGCTTTAGATCTATGACTGTCAGAGCAGCTCTATGACTGTCAGAGCTCTAGATCTATGACTATCAGAGCAGCTCTATAACTGTCAGAGCTCTAGCTCTATGACTGTCAGAGCAGCTCTATGACTGTCAGAGCTTTAGATCTATGACTGTCAGAGCACCTCTATGACTGCCAGAGCAGCTCTATGACTGTCAGAGCAGCTCTATGACTGTCAGAGCTTTAGATCTATGACTGTCAGAGCAGCTCTATGACTGTCAGAGCTTTAGAGCTATGACTGTCAGAGCAGCTCTATGACTGTCAAATCTCTAGCTCTATTACTGTCAGAGCAGCTCTATGACTGTCAGAGCTTTAGATCTATGACTGTCAGAGCAGCTCTATGACTGTCAGAGCAGCTCTATGACTGTCAGAGCAGTTCTATGACTGTCAAATCTCTAGCTCTATGACTGTCAGAGCAGCTCTACGACTGTCAGAGCAGCTCTATGACTGTCAGAGCTTTAGATCCATGACTGTCAAAGCAGCTCTATGACTGTCAAATCTCTACCTCTATGACTGTCAGAGCAGCTCTATGACTGTCATAGCAGCTCTATGACTGTCATAGCAGCTCTATCACTGTCAGAGCAGCTCTATAACTTTCAGAGCTTTAGCTCTATGACTGTCAGAGCAGCTCTATGACTGTCAGAGCAGCTCTATGTCTGTCAGAGCAGCTCTATGACTGTCAGGGCTTTAGATCTATGACTGTCAGAGCAGCTCTATGACTGCCAGAGCAGCTCTATGACTGTCAGAGCAGCTCTATGACTGTCAGAGCTTTAGATCTATGACTGTCAGAGCAGCTCTATGACTGTCAGAGCAGCTCTATGACTGTCAGAGCAGCTCTATGACTGTCAGAGCTTTAGATCTATGACTGTCAGAGCAGCTCTATGACTGTCAAATCTCTAGCTCTATGACTGTCAGAGCAGCTCTATGACTGTCAGAGCTTTAGATTTATGACTGTCAGAGCAGCTCTATGACTGTCAGAGCAGCTCTATGACTGTCAGAGCAGCTCTATGACTGTCAGAGCTTTAGATCTATGACTGTCAGAGCAGCTCTATGACTGTCAAATCTCTAGCTCTATGACTGTCAGAGCAGCTCTATGACTGTCAGAGCAGCTCTATGACTGTCAGAGCAGCTCTATGACTGTCAAATCTCTAGCTCTATGACTGTCAGAGCAGCTCTATGACTGTCAGAGCTTTAGATCTATGACTGTCAGAGCAGCTCTATGACTGTCAGAGCAGCTCTATGACTGTCAGAGCAGCTCTATGACTGTCAGAGCTTTAGATCTATGACTGTCAGAGCAGCTCTATGACTGTCAGAGCAGCTCTATGACTGTCAGAGCAGTTCTATGACTGTCAAATCTCTAGCTCTATGACTGTCAGAGCAGCTCTACGACTGTCAGAGCAGCTCTATGACTGTCAGAGCTTTAGATCCATGACTGTCAAAGCAGCTCTATGACTGTCAAATCTCTACCTCTATGACTGTCAGAGCAGCTCTATGACTGTCATAGCAGCTCTATGACTGTCATAGCAGCTCTATCACTGTCAGAGCAGCTCTATAACTTTCAGAGCTTTAGCTCTATGACTGTCAGAGCAGCTCTATGACTGTCAGAGCAGCTCTATGTCTGTCAGAGCAGCTCTATGACTGTCAGAGCTTTAGATCTATGACTGTCAGAGCAGCTCTATGACTGCCAGAGCAGCTCTATGACTGTCAGAGCAGCTCTATGACTGTCAGAGCTTTAGATCTATGACTGTCAGAGCAGCTCTATGACTGTCAGAGCAGCTCTATGACTGTCAGAGCAGCTCTATGACTGTCAGAGCTTTAGATCTATGACTGTCAGAGCAGCTCTATGACTGTCAAATCTCTAGCTCTATGACTGTCAGAGCAGCTCTATGACTGTCAGAGCTTTAGATTTATGACTGTCAGAGCAGCTCTATGACTGTCAGAGCAGCTCTATGACTGTCAGAGCAGCTCTATGACTGTCAGAGCTTTAGATCTATGACTGTCAGAGCAGCTCTATGACTGTCAAATCTCTAGCTCTATGACTGTCAGAGCAGCTCTATGACTGTCAGAGCAGCTCTATGACTGTCAGAGCAGCTCTATGACTGTCAGAGCAGCTCTATGACTGTCAAATCTCTAGCTCTATGACTGTCAGAGCAGCTCTATGACTGTCAGAGCTTTAGATCTATGACTGTCAGAGCAGCTCTATGACTGTCAGAGCAGCTCTATGACTGTCAGAGCAGCTCTATGACTGTCAGAGCTTTAGATCCATGACTGTCAGAGCAGCTCTATGACTGTCAAATCTCTAGCTCTATAACTTTCAGAGCAGCTCTATGACTGTCAGAGCAGCTCTATGACTGTCAGAGCAGCTCTATGACTGTCAGAGTAGCTCTATGACTGTCAAATCTCTAGCTCTATGACTGTCAGAGCAGCTCTATGACTGTCAGAGTAGCTCTATGACTGTCAAATCTCTAGCTCTATGACTGTCAGAGCAGCTCTATGACTGTCAGACCTTTAGATCTATGACTGTCAGAGCAGCTCTATGACTGTCAGAGCAGCTCTATGACTGTCAGAGCTTTAGATCCATGACTGTCAGAGCAGCTCTATGACTGTCAAATCTCTAGCTCTATGACTGTCAGAGCAGCTCTATGACTGTCAGAGCAGCTCTATGACTGTCAGAGTAGCTCTATGACTGTCAGAGCAGCTCTATGACTGTCAGAGCAGCTCTATGGCTGTCAGAGCAGCTCTATCACTGTCAGAGCAGCTCTATGACTGTCAGACCAGCTCTATGACTGCAGGCAGCCAGCTCCTATGTACTGTCAGCAGCAGCTTCTATGACGTGTCTCAGAGCTTAGATCTATGACTGGTCAGAGTCAGCTCTATGACTGTCAGATGCAGCTCTATCACTGTCAGAGCAGCTCTATGACTGTCAGACTTTAGCTCTATGACTGTCAGAGGCAGCTCTATGACTGTCAGAGTAGCTCTATGACTGTCAGAGCAGCTCTATGACTGTCAGAGCAGCTCTATGACTATCAGACCAGCTCTATGACTATCAGACCAGCTCTATGACTGTCAGAGCAGCTCTATCACTGTCAGAGCAGCTCTATGACTGTCAGAGCTTTAGATCTATGACTGTCAGACCAGCTCTATGACTGTCAGAGCAGCTCTATGACTATCAGACCAGCTCTATGACTGTCAGAGCAGCTCTATGACTGTCAGACCAGCTCTATGACTATCAGAGCAGCTCTATGACTGTCAGAGTAGCTCTATGACTGTCAGAGCAGCTCTATGACTATCAGACCAGCTCTATGACTATCAGAGCAGCTCTATGACTGCCAGAGCAGCTCTATGACTGTCAGAGCAGCTCTATGACTATCAGACCAGCTCTATGACTGTCAGAGCAGCTCTATGACTGTGAGAGCAGCTCTATGACTGTCATAGCAGCTCTATCACTGTCAGAGCAGCTCTATGACTGTCGGAGCAGCTCTATGTCTGTCAAATCTTTAGATCTCTGACTGTCAGAGCTCTAGCTCTATGACTGTCAAATCTCTAGCTCTATAACTTTCAGAGCTCTAGCTCTATGACTGTCATAGCAGCTCTATGACTGTCAGAGCAGCTCTATGACTGTCAGGGCAGCTCTATGACTGTCAGGGCAGCTCTATGACTGTCAAATCTCTAGCTCTATAACTTTCAGAGCTCTAACTCTATGACTGTCATAGCAGCTCTATGACTGTCAGAGCAGCTCTATGACTATCAGAGCAGCTCTATGACTGTCAGAGCAGCTCTATGACTGTCAGAGCAGATCTATGACTATCAGAGCAGCTCTATGACTATCATAGCAGCTCTATGACTGTCAGAGCAGCTCTATGACTGTCAGAGCTCTAGCTCTATGACTGTCAGTCATCTCCCCACAGCACTGCCTGTGCTCTGTTCAGGGTCTTTATTGATGTTTTCTAAATTACGGGCTGTTTCAGAGCTATTGAACCAGTCTCTATCATAGACTAACTTCCAGGCTGCTGCTCAGTCATTGAGAACATCAGAGCAGATCTAAATGAACTTTGCTGGATTGCTGTTGCAGGTCGTTGGAGTGGCTCAGGCTATCAACAAGAAATGTGGGGAGAATGGAGCCTTCACCGAACAGGATGAGAAGGTGGGTCTGTTTGATGGAGCGGTGACCCTAAGGGAAGCAGAAGGTGGGTCTGTTTGATGGAGCGGTGACCCTAAGGGAAGCAGAAGGTGGGTCTGTTTGACGGAGCGGTGACCCTAAGGGAAGCAGAAGGCGGGTCTGTTTGACGGAGCGGTGAGCCTAAGGGAAGCAGAAGGTGGGTCTGTTTGATGGAGCGGTGACCCTAAGGGAAGCAGAAGGTGGGTCTGTTTGACGGAGCGGTGACCCTAAGGGAAGCAGAAGGTGGGTCTGTTTGACGGAGCGGTGACCCTAAGGAAGCAGAAGGTGGGTCTGTTTGATGGAGCGGTGACCCTAAGGGAAGCAGAAGGTGGAATCTGTTAGACGGAGCGGTGACCCTAAGGGAAGCAGAAGGTGGGTCTGTTTGACGGAGCGGTGACCCTAAGGGAAGCAGCAGGTTTGTCTGTTTGACGGAGCGGTGACCCTAAGGGAAGCAGAAGGTGGGTCTGTTTGATGGAGCGGTGACCCTAAGGGAAGCAGAAGGTGGGTCTGTTTGACGGAGCGGTGACCCTAAGGGAAGCAGCAGGTTTGTCTGTTTGACGGAGCGGTGACCCTAAGGGAAGCAGAAAGTGGGTCTGTTTGACGGAGCGGTGACCCTAAGGGAAGCAGCAGGAGGGTCTGTTTGACCGAGCGGTGACCCTAAGGGAAACAGAAGGTGGGTCTGTTTGACGGAGCGGTGACCCTAAGAGAAGCAGCAGGAGGGTCTGTTTGACGGAGCGGTGACCCTAAGGGAAGCAGCAGGAGGGTCTGTTTGACGGAGCGGTGACCCTAAGGGAAGCAGCAGGAGGGTCTGTTTGACGGAGCGGTGACCCTAAGGGAAGCAGCAGGTGGGTCTGTTTGACAGAGCGGTGACCCTAAGGGAAACAGCAGGTTTGTCTGTTTGACGGAGCGGTGACCCTAAGGGAAGAAGCAGGAGGGTCTGTTTGACGGAGCGGTGACCCTAAGGGAAACAGCAGGTTTGTCTGTTTGACGGAGCGGTGACCCTAAGGGAAGAAGCAGGAGGGTCTGTTTGACGGAGCGGTGACCCTAAGAGAAGCAGCAGGAGGGTCTGTTTGACGGAGCGGTGACCCTAAGAGAAGCAGCAGGAGGGTCTGTTTGACGGAGCGGTGACCCTAAGAGAAGCAGCAGGAGGGTCTGTTTGACGGAGCGGTGACCCTAAGGGAAGCAGCAGGAGGGTCTGTTTGACGGAGCGGTGACCCTAAGGGAAGCAGCAGGTGGGTCTGTTTGACAGAGCGGTGACCCTAAGGGAAACAGCAGGTTTGTCTGTTTGACGGAGCGGTGACCCTAAGGGAAGAAGCAGGAGGGTCTGTTTGACGGAGCGGTGACCCTAAGAGAAGCAGCAGGAGGGTCTGTTTGACGGAGCGGTGACCCTAAGAGAAGCAGCAGGAGGGTCTGTTTGACGGAGCGGTGACCCTAAGGGAAGCAGAAGGTGGGTCTGTTTGACGGAGCGGTGACCCTGAAGGAAGCAGCAGGTGGGTCTGTTGGATGGAGCTCTGTGTTTCAGGACAGCTCTGTGTTTCAGCAAAGCTCTATGTTTCAGCAAAGCTCTGTGCCGCTAACAGGATATCTGGAGATGCTTCCCAATCTGACTTATTGAATAAAGGGTTGCTTGTTTGTGCCCACCGCAGCCCCAGAGAATTAATGTGTCAGACTTATTTAACTGAACGTTTCACAGTGAAGCACTTGGTGATAATCTATACCGCTGGTTTCCAAATGATGAACCGGTGTGCCGTGAGGCAAGTCCAAGTGTGTTATGATTTTGTGACAAACATACATTTTTGCAATATGATATACAACTGGAAAACATCATTGTTTTTATTGGCTTAACGACTTTCTATGCACTCATTTCATAAAATAGGCAAATTCCAAAAACAAGCAAACTCCGTATTGCACTTTTCATGAAGTTGTGCCAGAATTTGAAAGACAAACTGCAGGAAAGTCGCACTACTACTACTGACAGAACGGGGCGTTCCAACTTCTGGAAAACCTCAGATATGCTGATGATGAATCTATCAAAGATAAATTTTATTCTGCTAAGAAATGGAAACAGCAGGAGAAGAAATATTTAAGGTAGCTGAGAACACTCGTCAGTCTTACAGCAGAAGGCGCGGCATGCATGACGGGGAGAGTGAAAGAATCTGTTCCACAGGTAAAACCTCTAGCCTGTCTTTATGAGCTTCAGGAAGAGCTTCAGGAGTTTCCAAAGGAAGGAGTTATCCCACATAAGGACAGACTTGCAGATGAGAGTGAGGCACCAGGAGGGTTTATCCTGCAGACATATTTGACAAGTTAAACGGGAAGCCTCAGGGCAGAAATGAAAAGCTTTTATCACCCGCAGACAAAATTCTGGGTGTTATGAGCAAACTGACCCTTTGGGACAGAGCTCCATGGACCTGTTCCCGCTGGACTCAGCTGCACCACATGCAGCCAGAGAGCCTTTAAAAGACAGGGTTGAGCTGACTTCAAGGACTATGATTGGATCAGAGTCCCAAGTCCTGAGCAGAGCGCAGAGCTCTGTCCTCACAGTGAAAGTAACATTTAGATAGCTCCCGCTCGCTCAGTTTAGGCCTGTTTGTTATTCAGAACCCCCGACTGTCTCCCAGAGCACTGCCAGCCAGCTTCTTCATCTCCACCACCTGCCAGTGGGAACGGGCATCTCCACCATTGTTTCCATGAATAACCAGACCAGCTCACCGCTCTCTGTTGGGCAGGACATGTGAGCAGCTCTCTGCTCAGTGAAACCAAACCCCGGCAGGCACACGTTCCCGCTAATGTGTTAGTTGGGGGAATATTTACAATGTTAGGCTGGTTCTAAAGGTTTCAGTTATAACTGGGTCAGATTCAGGACCATGAAGACTGCAGCTTTCTCTGGACAGCTCCACTCTGAATTTATCTTCCGCTCTGCTTTCAATTAGAGCGTTTCATTATGATCAAGCTTAGATTCTCTTTGAAATATGGTGTCAATAAATATTTCCTGATTAATACATTTGTCTTTGTCACAATTGTATTTGGCATTAGTGAATAATTTCAAACTTTAAAGATGATATGAGAGATAACACATGTTAAAGGATATTTGGCACAACAGGTGTGACTTGGGCTTAAATAATTTGGCATAAATAGATAAAAGTGCCTTAATAATGCCTAAGTATTGCATAATTACTGCCTTATTAATACTTACTTATAATACCTAATTACTGCATAGTTACTGCCTTATTCATACTTAATTACTGCCTTATTCATGGCTAATTATCAGCTTATTAATAATGCATAATTACTGCATAGTTACTGCCTTATTCATAATTAATTACTGCCTTATTCATGGCTAATTACCAGCTTATTAATAATGCCTAATTAGATAATAATGCTTAGTTAGTGCCTCATCGTTGCCTTGTTGCTGAACACTCATCGGTGATTTCCTCTCCAACAGGACTTCTCTGTCTATCTGGCCTTTTCAGGCATCGTTCTGCATAACGCTCAGCTGTATGAGACCTCACAGCTGGAAATCAGACGTAACCAGGTGAGTGATGCTAGTGAAAGACTCCAGGTGAGGAGGTGGAGCTCAGAGTTTCTTTGATGGATGTGTTTGGAAGTGCAGGTGCTGTTGGACCTGGCCAGCCTGATCTTTGAGGAGCAGCAGAGTCTGGAGGTTTTACTCAGGAAGATCGCCGGCACTATTCTGTCCTTCATGCAGGCGGCGGCCTGCACCGTCTTCATCGCTGGCGAAGACTCCATGGTGAGCACGCACACTAAGCATCCACCTGATGTCCAAATGATGCCTTGCTGTGGAGTGAGAGGCAGCAGGTCCATTCTGCTGTCGGCAGGTAGAGACTCCTCTGGCTGAAGGGAGACTGGGCTCATCATAGATGATGGAGGGAGGCGGCATTCATCCCAGCTGTTCTCTGGAGGTTCTGAAGGCGCTCGCTCATGGTGGTGGTGGTGCTGGACAGAAGGTCACTCTGTACCAGGCCGAGAGGTCCAGCTGGTTCCAGCACTTCACTGATGAGAAGCTGGATCAGGAACTGAGTGGCAGACATGGGCAATGTGGAGTCAACAAGTCATCTCCATGTCAGGGATTGGTTCTACCCAGCCACTGAAGCAGGTGAGTCCAATCCTCACCGTGGATCAACCTGTGCAGGTTGGACTCACCTGGTTAACTGATGGGTAGATTAAATACATGACATGGAGATGACTTGTTGACATTGCCCATCTCTGCTGAGTGGTGGCGGTCAGCAGAGGAAGGGCTCCGCCCACGTCCTGGGGCGCCGCTGCCGCAGCACGTTAGCGCCGGTCTGAGGAACAACCGATGGGCTCAGGTAGCTAGCTGCTAGCCTGGCTCTGATTCGTCCATGCTCACCTCACCCCTCCCAACAGGGTAGCCGTTAGGAAGCCGTGAGCCGTCGGTGATGTTCTCCAGAACATGGAGTCTAAGTCAAAGTATGTGGTTCTGCTAATGGTGACCCAAACCTCAGAGGTTCCTCAGAGAACCAGGCGGCCGGCAGGGAGGAGATTCTGGTTCTAATGTTCTGGAGGATAAAGCTGAAATAAACGACCAATCAGGAACCGCCTCCTTCCTGTTTGCTTCTACAGCTCCGCTGCTCAAAGTTACAGCTTCATTAGCGCTAACAGCGCAGCGCTCAGTTTACTGCAGAATAATCCAAACATGTTCAGGTCTCGTTGGTGTCATCTCTGGTCATTTTACCAAAAGACCTCGTACCTCCCCTGGAAAGAGAAGGAGGATAGTCACCTGGCCTTCCAGCATCTAAAGGGGAGGACAGCTGTAGAACCTGATGCTCTCCTCACTGTCTAGATGTTCTCTGACCAAATAACTGACAGTGAGGTTGGTGAAGAGTGACGGTTCACATTTTCATTCTTTGTAACGCAGCCTTGTGATTGGAGCAGATGGACATGTCTGGTGTTTCAGACAACCTTGAGGTGACCCGTACCAGCCGTATGGAACGGCCTCCTCTGTATGTTGCTCAGATATTCACACTTCACGTTATCAGAGCTGATTGCTGTTGCCAACTTGGTGACTTTTCAGCTGCCTGTTGCCTCAGTGACTCATTGAGCTCATTCACTGCGTGTCTCTGCTAGCTGGGTTAAACTTACAGCTGATAACAGAACTGCTGCAGTTTGGGCTCAGCTAAAGCAGTAATGAATAATTCAAGTTATTTTTAGGGGTAATGTTTTTCCTGGAATGATTTTAGAATATTTTACTCACTTTCAATCTTACCAACGTTTATTTTCCTCTCTCCTATGGCTGGATGGTGGCATCACCAATTATGCTAACTAGGTGATGATGTTGTCACCTAGTTCTAGGTTCTAGTTCACATGCTGCACGTTCTGCTAGCGTACTTTAGGTTCTAGTTCACATGCTGCACGTTCTGCTAGCGTACTTTAGGTTCTAGTTCACATGCTCCACGTTCTGCTATGTATGCTAGCAGAACGTGGAGCATGTGAACTAGAACCTAAAGTACGCTAGCAGAACGTGGAGCATGTGAACTAGAACCTAAAGTATGCTAGCAGAACGTGGAGCATGTGAACTAGAACCTAAAGTATGCTAGCAGAACATGGAGCATGTGAACTAGAACCTAAAGTACGCTAGCAGAACGTGGAGCATGTGAACTAGAACCTAAAGTATGCTAGCAGAACGTGGAGCATGTGAACTAGAACCTAAAGTATGCTAGCAGAAAGTGGAGCCTGTGAACTAGAACCTAAACTACGCTAGCAGAACGTGGAGGATGTGAACTACAACCTCAAGTACGCTAGCGGAACGTGGAGCATGTGAACTAGAACCTAAAGTACGCTAGCAGAACGTGGACCATGTGAACTAGAACCTAAAGTATGCTAGCAGAACATGGAGCATGTGAACTAGAACCTAAAGTACGCTAGCAGAACGTGGAGCATGTGAACTAGAACCTAAAGTATGCTAGCAGAACGTGGAGCATGTGAACTAGAACCTAAAGTATGCTAGCAGAACGTGGAGCATGTGAACTAGAACCTAAACTACGCTAGCAGAACGTGGAGGATGTGAACTACAACCTCAAGTACGCTAGCGGAACGTGGAGCATGTGAACTAGAACCTAAAGTACGCTAGCAGAACGTGGAGCATGTGAACTAGAACCTAAAGTACGCTAGCAGAACGTGGAGCATGTGAACTAGAACCTAAAGTATGCTAGCAGAACGTGGAGCATGTGAACTAGAACCTAAAGTATGCTAGCAGAACATGGAGCATGTGAACTAGAACCTAAAGTACGCTAGCAGAACGTGGAGCATGTGAACTAGAACCTAAAGTATGCTAGCAGAACGTGGAGCATGTGAACTAGAACCTAAAGTATGCTAGCAGAAAGTGGAGCCTGTGAACTAGAACCTAAACTACGCTAGCAGAACGTGGAGGATGTGAACTACAACCTCAAGTACGCTAGCGGAACGTGGAGCATGTGAACTAGAACCTAAAGTACGCTAGCAGAACGTGGAGCATGTGAACTAGAACCTAAAGTATGCTAGCAGAACGTGGAGCATGTGAACTAGAACCTAAAGTATGCTAGCAGAACATGGAGCATGTGAACTAGAACCTAAAGTACGCTAGCAGAACGTGGAGCATGTGAACTAGAACCTAAAGTATGCTAGCAGAACGTGGAGCATGTGAACTAGAACCTAAAGTATGCTAGCAGAAAGTGGAGCCTGTGAACTAGAACCTAAACTACGCTAGCAGAACGTGGAGGATGTGAACTACAACCTCAAGTACGCTAGCGGAACGTGGAGCATGTGAACTAGAACCTAAAGTATGCTAGCAGAACGTGGAGCATGTGAACTAGAACCTAAAGTATGCTAGCAGAACATGGAGCATGTGAACTAGAACCTAAAGTACGCTAGCAGAACGTGGAGCATGTGAACTAGAACCTAAAGTATGCTAGCAGAACGTGGAGCATGTGAACTAGAACCTAAAGTATGCTAGCAGAAAGTGGAGCCTGTGAACTAGAACCTAAACTACGCTAGCAGAACGTGGAGGATGTGAACTACAACCTCAAGTACGCTAGCGGAACGTGGAGCATGTGAACTAGAACCTAAAGTACGCTAGCAGAACGTGGAGCATGTGAACTAGAACCTAAAGTATGCTAGCAGAACATGGAGCATGTGAACTAGAACCTAAAGTACGCTAGCAGAACGTGGAGCATGTGAACTAGAACCTAAAGTATGCTAGCAGAACGTGGAGCATGTGAACTAGAACCTAAAGTATGCTAGCAGAAAGTGGAGCCTGTGAACTAGAACCTAAACTACGCTAGCAGAACGTGGAGGATGTGAACTACAACCTCAAGTACGCTAGCGGAACGTGGAGCATGTGAACTAGAACCTAAAGTACGCTAGCAGAACGTGGAGCATGTGAACTAGAACCTAAAGTACGCTAGCAGAACGTGGAGCATGTGAACTAGAACCTAAAGTATGCTAGCAGAACGTGGAGCATGTGAACTAGAACCTAAAGTATGCTAGCAGAACATGGAGCATGTGAACTAGAACCTAAAGTACGCTAGCAGAACGTGGAGCATGTGAACTAGAACCTAAAGTATGCTAGCAGAACGTGGAGCATGTGAACTAGAACCTAAAGTATGCTAGCAGAAAGTGGAGCCTGTGAACTAGAACCTAAACTACGCTAGCAGAACGTGGAGGATGTGAACTACAACCTCAAGTACGCTAGCGGAACGTGGAGCATGTGAACTAGAACCTAAAGTACGCTAGCAGAACGTGGAGCATGTGAACTAGAACCTAAAGTATGCTAGCAGAACGTGGAGCATGTGAACTAGAACCTAAAGTATGCTAGCAGAACATGGAGCATGTGAACTAGAACCTAAAGTACGCTAGCAGAACGTGGAGCATGTGAACTAGAACCTAAAGTATGCTAGCAGAACGTGGAGCATGTGAACTAGAACCTAAAGTATGCTAGCAGAAAGTGGAGCCTGTGAACTAGAACCTAAACTACGCTAGCAGAACGTGGAGGATGTGAACTACAACCTCAAGTACGCTAGCGGAACGTGGAGCATGTGAACTAGAACCTAAAGTACGCTAGCAGAACGTGGAGCATGTGAACTAGAACCTAAAGTATGCTAGCAGAACGTGGAGCATGTGAACTAGAACCTAAAGTATGCTAGCAGAAAGTGGAGCCTGTGAACTAGAACCTAAAGTACGCTAGCAGAACGTGGAGCATGTGAACTAGAACCTCAAGTACGCTAGCGGAACGTGGAGCATGTGAACTAGAACCTAAAGTACGCTAGCAGAACGTGGAGCATGTGAACTAGAACCTAAAGTATGCTAGCAGAACGTGGAGCATGTGAACTAGAACCTAAAGTATGCTAGCAGAAAGTGGAGCCTGTGAACTAGAACCTAAAGTACGCTAGCAGAACGTGGAGCATGTGAACTAGAACCTAAAGTATGCTAGCAGAACGTGGAGCATGTGAACTAGAACCTAAAGTATGCTAGCAGAACATGGAGCATGTGAACTAGAACCTAAAGTATGCTAGCAGAACATGGAGCATGTGAACTAGAACCTAAAGTACGCTAGCAGAACGTGGAGCATGTGAACTACAACCTCAAGTACGCTAGCGGAACGTGGAGCATGTGAACTACAACCTCAAGTACGCTAGCAGAAGGTGGAGCATGTGAACTAGAACCTAAAGTATGCTAGCAGAACGTGGAACATGTTAACTAGAACCTAAAGTACGCTAGCAGAACGTGGAGCAT